TTTAAATGCTTGTGAATTTTTGATCATTTTTGAAAATTTTCACCTAAGCTGTTATAAATTTTTTTTTTAATTTTTTGAGGCTTTTTTTTTCAGCATGGTTTATGATTCGTTTTTAATTTTTAACGTTTAGGTATGCTTATTATGTGCAAACGAAGCTGATCAATCATCCGGGCGCACGAAATGCGATCTCAAAAATTCAGTTTGTGAAGACACTCTTTTCCACACCGGATCCACCGAAAGATGTTGTTGGGAAATCGCTTCCTGCGAACCCCGATCGGATCGAGTATGTATAATTTCCACCACTTGTAATACTAATGAAACAGTCAGCCTTGATGAAGCAGTTTTTCGTAGGAAACTTCCAAAAATTTCTAAAAAAATGGGCCGAAACGTATCAAGTATCCCAGAATTCTCGATTTGTATCGGTTCTTTTAAAAAGTTTCCAGTGATTGGCCTTATTTTATAATTTTTGCAAGCTATGAGATTTATAATTTTTACAGTTTAATTTTTTTTACAATTGTTACAAATTTACAGTTTTTACAATTTATAATTTTTACAAATTATAATACGTTTCTTCAACTATCCGTTTCGAGTTGCTTTGACCAATATTGCTTTCCTTGAACTTTTTTTGCTTTTTATCTTCCGCAGGGTTTAGCAGTACCGCGTTTTTTCTTGCCCCGTAGGGATACTTGGCAATACTTCAACCATTTCAAGATGCCCTTGATGTGGTTTGATCATCATCAGCTTGTTCCAAATGCTGCTACTCCTAGACCACGGTGAGATATTTATCCTACCAGCTGGCTGGCACAGGATTATAATCATCGTATTAGTGAGTGGCTACTGTTTTTGATAGTATCGGCCTTTTAGTTATGAAAAACGCCTTTCTTTGTGTAGTGAAGCATGCAAAAAATTATGAATTTGTTTGGTATTCTATGTGAAGGACAAATTTTTATCATGTTACAGTTTAAAATGGGATCCACCGGAACATCCAAACGGTGAAATTACACATTACACTGTCAAGTGGCAAGTATTTGAAGATGATGCATCAGCGATTGCAGGACATGTATGTGATGATAAAGCTGGTAAGTGCGTTTTTGCCTGGAGACTTTTGTGCAACCGAAAGGAGCAAGAAATCGAACTTACCCGGTATACAGTGATGGTGCCATGAACAGAGCCCGTTTTCAAAAATGTGTATGAGCCGAGAGGGAATCGAACTACTCCCGTTCAAATTTGGACTCGGCGTGTTATCCACTACACCGCCGGCCACTGTAGCCTTGCACATGCCTGGTAGCACATCCACTGTGTATCTGCCCTTGCACCTTTCTTGGTTGCCTTCCATAGGCAGCATACATCTTTTTCTTTGCGGCAGTTTCTTCTTTGCCGGGTTTTCTTAGATTTTCCACGATAGTTAGTACTTCTGATTGCGCATCACACATCTCATCACGCCTCTTTGCTTTATCAGCGCAATTAACTTTCTTTTATAGTTAATGTAGTCGAAGCTACATTGCTTACAGTGAGTTTCTTGTTGCCGCTCATTTTCTTATTCATCGTGATGTTCCCCTTTTTGTCCTTCGAAAAGAAAGCAAGGGA